GACACTAAAGATTTATTCGCAATTAAATGCTGGAGTGCTCTAACGATAGCCACTTGTGGTTTTCCAGCCAAATATAAGGAAATCTCACTATCACGCTTTAGTTACATCACGAATAACTGTTTATTTTCTGGAAAATTCTCAACAAAATGCTTTGGACGCTTGTAAACAATATAATGAGTTGACACTGGAATAATTTTAATAGCTGTCGGACGAGTGGATAAGAAATGACAGCAGTCTGTAGTCTGAAGTTGGTTGCAGTTTTTTTATATCACCTTGTATATCCTTAACCTGATTTCAGGGACGTTCGATTAAATTTTGTCGAACTCGGCTCCGATACATATTTTTTAATATAATCCTTCTCGAAGTGATAGCGCATGAACTCTATAACAATGTTATTTGGTATAAAAAAATGAAATGTCTCAGTCAAATTAAGTGAAAATCGATTCAGAATTTGATATGCCTCCCATATAATCAGTTCTCTCCGAAACCAAACTATAACTGCTCTAAAGCCAAAGGTTGATAGGTAGTAGGATCAACTTCAAATAAATTAATTTGTTAATGGAGCTTTACTAAAAATGCATGGTGGTGTAGGGTATCATATAGTCCGTCCCGCCGACTTTTGACTTTCCTTACTAAAACCAAGATATTCACCGAAAAATATTATTATGGGTATGATTACTAGCAAATTTCATGCCATCTGAGTCGATTGCCTCGAAAGTAAGAGTTAGGCGAACGGGCAGATAAAAAAGCAGAATCGTCTTAAAATATAATGCTGATGTATATGTTTTTTGATCTGCATAAAATTTATAGAGTCTTAGATGATTGTTTCGATGAATTTGAGTGAGTTACAAATTGAATGACAAACCGAATGTACTCTCCCAACACATGGTGGAGGGAATTAATAAAAATATTAAATTCATTTGATTAACACAAATGCCACCGTTTGTGGTTAGCATCCTTCTCCCCCGTTCACAGGCAACTGACTGCCACTGACACTGCCACGACGACACATGTCGTGCCCGTACATTGACCACAATGAGAATTAAAAGATTAAAAAAAAAAAACTGAGTAAAAAAACCTTCAAAAAATATTATTTTAAATTGAAAATAAAAAAACACACGCAAAAGTATAAAAAACATTGTTTAAAAAAATTAAACTGTGTGTGTGTCTGTTTTTTTAATTTTCATTTTTCTACCGCACAAAGTGTAAAGACATTTCACCCAACATTTATGAGTCTGTAGACGACAGCAGTTATGGCCACAGAACATTCAAACATTTGCACACATTGATGCAAAAAAATGACATCAATTTCGATTTTATTTTCTGTGGGTTTTCTTTTTTTTTTTCTTCTTTACGGCGTGGAGGAAGTTCATTTCATTTCACTTCTTGTTGTACATCATATGAAAGAACAACAACAACAACACTAATATTTCATTAATTTATTACCTCAGGAAGAAAAACTGCCAACAACCACACACAACAATCATACAATGGGCTTTACTAATTAATAGCCTGAAATGTTCGGTGCGGTGCGGTTAGAATGAAATAAATTAATTTTATAGTAGAATTAAATATGTATTGTAAATATTCTATAGTAGTTGTTGTTATTTCTTTTGTGTATATTATGGGTTCTTTATAAAAGAAAATTATTATTTTGTTGTTTCAATTAAAAGCCATTCAATTGTCTACAATTGTTCACTGAACATTTCATGTTTGTCTAATTAAATGTCTTTGAGTAGGAGATCATTCTAATAAAAGGGGAAAGGAATTTTAAACAATAACAAAAGTAGATAAGTGGGAAAAGAGAAAATAAATAAAAGAAAATTCCGACAAATGTATATCCCCAGCCTTGAGTTATGGTTATTTACATTGTATCCTCTGTGGGGAAGGTTCCGAAGCAGTTGACCAATATTGACCAATGCGTATCTGACTTAAGACTGATATAAATATTACAACGTGCCAGATTTGGATTATATTCAAATCTTCTTCTCCTATACTTTATATGAGATATTTGCACATTTTTGGAAAATGTGGAAATATGCATGAGGTTCCAGATATAGCGGACCGAAATAATCCACTTCATCTAATACAGATAAAAATATAAGTATGTGCAAAATTTAAAGAAAATCGAACATTTTTATCCAATTTTATACAAAATCATAAAACTCGATAAATTACATATTCATATCAGATTTCTGGTTAAGAGAAATATTTAGATATAGCAAGTTGTAAAGAATCGACGACTTGTTTCGCAAGTTATGACAGATATAAGTATTTGTGGTTGAGGTACCAGAAGAGGTTGCCAGATATCTATAATCTTAACAACAGATTTTGCGTTACCAAAAATCTTTTGGATGTGTGAAATTTCAAGAGAGTTGAATGCTTCTTTCGCGTTTTATGAGCGATTTGGTTTTCAAAATTTTCACAGCAGATCTTATGTTAGTAAAAACAATGGCATGTGTGAAATTCGTAAAGAACCGGATGCTTAGTTCGGATTTTATAATCGTTTTGATTATTCAAAGCTTTGATTCTTTGTGGGGGAGGTACCAAAAGGAATGGTCCGAACTCTACCATCTTTATAACAGATCTTTTGTTGATGGAAATATTAAGATGTGCCATGTCTGAATGGAATCGGATTTTAATTTTGTGTTTTATGAGCTCGCGATTATTCAAAATTTTGACCCTTTGTTGGGGAGGACCGATATATTCCATCTTCACACTAGACCGTGGGATAATAAAAATATTGTGATGTGTGTGATTTTAAGACGATCGTACATCACATTTTATATGAGTTATAATTATTCAACATTTTGACACTTTGTGGGGGAGGAACTTGATGGAGTGGATCAATTTTATCCATTTTCACACCTGAGCTAGCAGTGATGCAAATGCTAGGTACATGTCATACAATTACAATTTGAAAAGGATCGGGAATACCTAGGTTTCGGAAAGAGCTACCAATCCTCATCAGTTCTCTTGTTTTTTTGTCTGGGATATTCTCCCCTGAAGTTATTTTAAAAACCACCATAAAGCATCTGTCTGGCTTCAGAACAACCCATAAGTATATGCAAAATCTCGCTGCCTAAAAGTATGCTACACAGACATGTCGCCAATTTATCGTTGCTATATTGAGCAAACTGAGTTAATATCAGGAGATTCAAAAATCTCAGGCAAGACATGTTCTATTTAATTCGAGGCAGTTATGGTCCAACCGAAATAGTCGGTCAAGTTCCCAAATATCATTCAGATGCCAAATTGTGTCTATACTCATCTATTTTCGGAGTATAGCGTCTTTTTTAAATATAATGGTTTATAATGGTTAAATATAATAGTTTTACCAGCTGTGATGGCCATTGCAATTCACTAGAATCCCGTGAGCTATTTGAAATAGACCGCCGTATTAAAGTGAATAGTGTAGTAGAAACGATAATCCCCACAATTCCTCGAAAATTCATACTTACTGAATCCATTATATTGCACCGAAAGAGATTTGTGTGGGACAAGTGAAACATATCCACTTTCTGCGGCTATAATGCTACAGGGCCATTAACAATTGAATAAAAATGAACATATACATATATACTGATTTGACAGGCGCTGACCGAAAGTTGGGTTGATCTGGCACCTCCGTGGGAATGTATTCTGTTCTTCATATTTCAACATCGATAAATGCCCCTAAGAAATTTAACTCTAAAGCTTAAAAAATATCACGAAAATTACTTTTTTATGTCGGAAGATGACATTCAAAAGTATTCTCTTTCTGTAGAATAATTTTATTTTAAATATTTTAATGAATACTTCTATATCCACTTCCAAGGAGCCTTGCTGAAGACATTAGATTAGGATGCGAAAGTGACTATTTCCTTATAAAAATCGTAACACCAAAGTTATTTAGTCCAGATTCACTTGGACCCATTATTGAACCTCTTCTTAAGCATTAAACAGTTTGCTAGTTTTTCACACAACCAACTAACAAGTCTTTTTACTACTTTTTTTATCTCAAATTAGTGGAAACAGTACCCTGTAAATCAGTCTAGTTATGTGCAGGTTTACTGAATATGTCCTTCGTTAAATTTCTTAAAATGTTTTTGCATAGAATTTCTAAATGAAACTTGACGTTTTCTTATCAAAGAAAGCCATATAATGAATAAGCGCCTGAAAGTATGCAACAACTTTTGGTTTCTTTCCATTCATTAAAACTGTGATGTTTTTCTGTAATAAATATCAAAAAATCAATTAGAAAGAAAGTAATAAAACCCAGGTTTTATCATATATTTCATCGAGTGACATAAGAACCGTTAGAGCTTCTATATTTACCCTAAGTGATAACATTATTGTAGACCCCCTCCTCACCCCACTTTGACTTGTTAACATAAATTTAACACTATTTACACACTGTCATTGTCGGCCGCCGTATCATTCATTCATTGTTCATTAAGTACACCCGAACAATAGCGTGTCAATGTGTCACTTCTTTGTTCAAGTTGCCATTCATTGTGTACATACAATGCTTGTTGTCCACATTGAAGACCATAAAACGACGATGATTTAATATGGAGCAGTACATTCTCTACAAAGAAAAAAAATGACAATGATAGAGAGGAGTAAGGAAATAATGCATTTTGTCCTTCCACAAACTTGCCATCATCCCGTAATATTGCGGGCTTTCTTGGGGGACTGTTGGATGGTTGGCATTGTGGGGTAAGGCACTGTGTGTGTGTCTGCACTCTCGTTGCTCACATCTTAAATTAGTCTGTAATTAGTGAAGGTTACAGAGGCCACATAATGTTTGTGTGGCGAAAAAATTCTGATGACGTTGTTTTATTAAAATTTCTTACAGATAGAGAGAGAAAACACCCAGCGCCATAACGACGTCAAGACCATTTAAACGAAAGAAAAAAAAAACAAGTATCAAAACAAAATAACTCCTGGAATTTGCGATTACGTTAGTTCATAATAATTTATTCATTTCAATTTTTTTGCTTTGCTTTATTTTTCAGATACAACAATAGAGACTCTTTGTGCCTGGCGGTACTACTACAACCACTAACACATGTGCGGTGGACAATTTATCCCATTCGGCAAAATAAAACCAACTAGGCACTGATATTAAAAATAAAGCGTATTTTTAATTCAGACGACACCACCAAGTGTAAATCAAATCAGACGGAAACCGGAGAACATCAATTCTGTGCGACGACAACGACTGACGACGACAATGCCGATGATGATGATGACACTAATGGGTACAAGCTGGCACTTGATAACAATGCTGCTGTCAATGGAGATGATGATACTGTTGCCTTTGATGTCTAGTTTGGTGATGCAAGTAATGTAATTGCCCAGCGAATTTTAAAAATAGCCAGAATATCTATATTAAGTTGCCAGCTATAGACTGTGGTGCTGGCTGGCTACTTCCTGCCATCCAATCGTGTCATTGTTTTAATGCAAACGCATTTTAATTGACATGATGCGTTATTCGGAAATCTCCAGGGATTTGTCTAGCGATAATTTACGCTATGTTGAATTTGTTGGCCAAAACGATGATGAATGTCCCAGGGAAGCATCACCGTTGAGTGATACCTCAAACGGTAGTGGTCCACTGATGGTAACACATTCACCAGCTGCTGCTGGCCGTGCCGTGCCATCGTGTCGTCGTCACAATCACAATATACGTACAAAACGTTTATACATTGACGATGAGGCCGATGATGACGATGGCGATGATGATGACCAGCATGATGGCAATCAGTATCACCAATACGATAATATATCATTGGGTAATAATCGCAGTAATTTCAGTGGCTTCTATGCTGGACTGCGTAACTCAAAACGTTTTTCCAGTGGCAGTGGTAGCAATAGTTCGGTAAATGGTACCGCAAATGGTGCTGCCACCATAGGCTATGTGCGTCACCGCAAGGATAGTACACATTCGACCCAGAGTTGTCAATTTGAAAGCGAGTCACCGCACAAGCATCACCACAATGCGAGTGGCATTAGTAAATCGCTGAATATCAAAGGGCGACGTAAACATTCAATTGGTTGCCTAAATGCATTTTCATCATCACCCGATTCTCCCGGCAACTACTATGGTGTGGGGTAAGTATGTCGGGCCTCTTTATTTTTAAGAATATTGTTCTAAAGGTCTTATTTTCTTATTCCTTCCAGCTGTGGACCACCTGAATTAAAATCAAACAGCCTACCCGGCCACACCTCAAGCAAATCCTCTTCATCCTCATTGGATGCCACCATATTAAGTGCTTTACGTATACCCGCCGATGAATTAGCCAATCAATTGACCTTATTGGATTTTCCTGTTTTTGCTGCCATACAACCCGACGAGCTGACCAGTTGTGCATGGACCAAAAAGGAGAAACACACCATAACACCGAATATTGTTGCATTTACCAAACGTTTCAATCACACCAGTTTTTGGATAGTCCAGGAGATATTGAGCGGAGATCAGCCGAAACAAAGGGCCGAGATATTGGCACATTTTATAAAGGTACGGCGGGATAAAGAGAGGATAAGATAACATATTTTTAAAAGAGAAGTGAGATAACAATTTTGGATTTTTCAACACTATTTATTTAAGTTTAATAGGGCTGTAATTGTAGATAATTTTGAAATTTGTTTTGGAGGCCAAACCCGGGCTTCAATTGTGATTTTTAAAGGATTATTTTTTCAGTACATTTTTAGCTATAATTGTGGATTTTTAGGAAGTTTTTTAAAGACCAAAATAGTTATAATCGTGGATATCCTTGGAAAGGAGGGTATATTAACTTACCTAAATATTCGTCGTAGACCCCACAACGTATATATATTCATGATCAGCATAAAATGCTAAGTCGATTTAACGATGTCCGTTGAAATCACAATACAGCCCACATTATTTGACGTAGAGCTTTAAAATTTGGCAGAACAATTTGTATTGTATCTAGGATGGTTGGTATTGAAAATGAGATATATCGGTCCACGTTTTGGTGTAGTCGCCATATAACGGTACCTCCCGATTTTCGGTATTTTGATAATTTTTGCCACATTTTTCCACGGATTTGTCTAAAAATTGGTATTTGTAGGTCATAATGGATTCTAGCTCCGAAACATCATATATATAGGTCCACGTTTTTGTATAGCCCCCATGTAACGCTAACTCCTGGTACTTTTATAAAAAATTAATTTCGAAATTTGCTAGATTCTCTCTTTAATTATTGAAAAATATTGAATTTTTTCTCGAAGTCCTAGAAGAACAACAGTGGTTATTTTATTTAAATATTTTTTTTTTCAAGGACCGATCGTGGTTTTTTTTAATATTTAGATTTTCAATAATATATATTTTTGTTTTCTTCTCCCCCCTCTTTCTAGGTCGCCAAGAAACTCCACGAACTCAACAATCTCCATTCCCTGTTTGCCATCATTTCGGCTATGCAGAGCGCCAGCATATATCGCCTCAAGAAAACCTGGGCCTATTTGGCCAAAAAAGATAAACATAGCTATGAGCGATTAAGTGATATTTTCAGCGATCAAAATAATTGGGAAAATTTACGAGCCTATTTGGAAAGTTTACGTTTACCCTGTATACCCTATTTGGGGCTATTTCTTACCGATTTAATCTACATCGATTTGGCATATCCGCAAAAGAATGGCATCGAACCAGAACAACGAAGAAATCGTATGAATAATATACTACGTGTTATATCGAATTATCAAGAATCGAATTATAGCAACATACAGCCGATAGAGTCTACACAGAAATATTTGACATCGATACGTTACATTGAAGAATTGCAAAATATCTTTGAGGAAGAACAATATAAGTGAGTGGTGATGAATTTTTTATTAATAATATAAATATTTTTAATATTTTGTTGTTTCTTTTAGAAAATCCTTAAAACTAGAACCCATTTCCCCTTTGGCACCCAGCTCGTCTTCGTGTAGCTCCAAGGAGTCATTCAATGTGGATGTTGTTACCCCAGCACTGGCATGCCTAAATCTCTCACCCGCCAAAACGGCAGGCTCTGTACGTTTACCCAGTTCCTCTGCCGTTAAATTTATACCCGGTCATCGTAAATGCCGTAGTTTGGGTACCAAGTGAGTATTTTATCGCTAATCATATTTTTGGTACATTTTCTTCTAATGTTTTTCATGAATTTCATTGATTTGTAATCTCTTTCGTTTTCTATTCAAATCAAAAACAAAAACCGTGCTATCCACCATCAATTTCTTACAACCACATCATGCCACACACAACGACCACTGTTGCCATCCAAACATCATTGGTATTGTTTTAATCGTGATCTACAAAAAAAAAAAAAAAACTACAAAATTTGTACCTGAAATTTCTACTTCATATTCATTTTACTTTGCCTATATATCCTATATAATATGATTTCTTTTTGATGTTGCATTATATTTGTTTTCCCCCCTGGGCTTTAATTGTTACCGTGCTGCTTTGGTAATTTTTCGTTTTAACATTTACTTATCCATTTCAATTTTGATTTTATTGTTACTACTACAACCTACCATCACCCACTACCACAAATTTTTATCAATACTATACTAGGTTTCGTAGCACAAGTTTGCCGCGAAATTTCTCACACAAATGCCATTGTTCACTTATAATGCTAACAAAATCTGGCATTATTATCAATACCACCGCCGCTGCAAAGCATTTACGTTGTCCCTGTTGTTCTTGTTGCCAGTGTCGGTGAGTTGTGTTTTTTTTCTCTACTCTTTCGTTTCTCTGTTCGGCTTTTGTTCCTTTGATTGTAAATGTGTCCAGCTTTGCAAAATACATATCATCCATCCGTCATTTCTTCCATGATCGTGGAAATATTGTGCTTTGTGGTTTTAATTTGCGTCAAATAGTATTACTGTTTTATAAATTTTGATTTTTAAATATTAATGTTTACCTTGTTTCATTTCATCTAATTTCTGTATCACTTAACATTTCATATAATTTCAATTTAATATTTATATATTATTCATAATTAGAACTTTTCTACCGAAACCAAAGAGGATATCTCGTTTGTAAATTTCTTATCTTAGAGTGTTTTTTTTTACTAGTTTGCCAAAAATCTAAATGATTACGTCTGTCCTTAGAGGGGACAACAAGATCGTGTCCTCAAAGTCCTTTTAAAATTCATTTCTTCTACATCTCCGTAGAGTTTGCAATAGTTAATATCAACCATATTTTCGGTTCTAGCTCAGACTTTATTGGGAAGAGTGTTGAAACGTTGGTCTTTTTGCTTTTAAGACACTTGGACAGACAATTGGTGTATTCCTAATTCGTTTCGAATGACTCAAATGTAATCTTGTGCCTTGTCATCGGCCGCTCCGTTTTCCATCTTTTTGCATCATAACAAACGAAAAAAAAGTTGATACATAATCGGAAATATTACAAAGTTCGAGCAGGTCTGCAAAATTATTGGCAACATTTAAATCTTTCAAACCTTTGACGACGTAACGGTTTCGGTAATTTAAAGTGAAGTGATATTTACAATCCTGAGAGCGGCAGGGATACCTAGTGATCAGATTTCTTTCTGACAAAGAGGTGCACCAGGGCATAGAAATATAGTGGGGAATGATATGACTGCCGAATTAGCTCAAGGTGGTTTCCATTGATCTACCAATTAAAGACATTTAGCCAACCGATTCAAAAAGGCTCCCATCGAAGAAACTGTCACAACATGGTACCTGTAAACCGGTTGCAAGGTATCTAGGACCATCTGGCCGGCAAACTCGAGAAAATGAACCTGATTCATTCTAGTAGGTTTGGTCAACGAATCGTCGTGGCATATCTATTGAGCTTACGACCTCGTCGCTTGGGTAAACATGTTTTTTTTTGTAATAGGAGTTATTTTTAAATTAAATCCTGGGGAGAATATCCCACACCAAAAACAAGTGAACTGATGAGGATTTGTAGCTTTTTCCGAATCCTAGGTATTCCCTGCCTTACCCTCTAATAAACATTACCATCGTTCCCCACTAATAAACATTCGTTGTTTTTATAAAAACAACAATAATGGGATTAAGCCTGACCATTTTGCAACAACAAAATACTATGGTATGCTGAACAACAAGCCAACACTGTTCTATTTTTTATTTTCGTCAAAACTTGCACTTTTCGAATTCGCTGCAAAATTTCTTGTAATTTTACTATCCAATTACCAGCCGGGGTTGTGGAAGATTCCAGTTGGATTTAATAATATTCGTTTTGTAGATAGAACCCTAAAAGAGTTTCGAATTTTCAGGCCAAACTTTTTTAAGCATTTCTATAGCCTTGTTCTTATATTTTGAGAGATATTTTGCAACATTTTATATAGGGCTTTGAAAATTTACAGAGAGCCTTACATTACATCAAAAATCATTGGTTTAAAAAATGGTTAATTTCGCCAAATGGATAATAGGGAAAATCCGATTTCAAATGCTGGTATATTGGTACTTTACATGGAGAAAAACTATTAGTAAAAAAATATTAATAGAGGTCTACAACATGGATGGATTTCACCAACTTGTAAACCTCTGTTAATAATATTTTACTATAAAGATACCCCTTGAAGTTAGGTGTTTGGCCATATTTTCCAATCGATTTGGCGTTTTTGAATATTTTCTAAAGGTATAACATTTTCTGAATGTTTTGCGTAGTTTCCATATTGATTTTCTTAAAGTCCTGCTTAGACAAATGAAAGGAGAAACAATTGTTGAGACTTGTCAGTAGATAGATAGATAGTCTTATTCACTAGATTTTATTTAAAAATCATAACATCATTTTCGCCACAACACTGGCGTAATTTTCGAATATTTATAGAATTTTGGATGCTTTCAGAATTTTGCTTGAAGCTTCTTTTTATCTAAAATTTGCCTTTAATGCTCAGCTGTTCAGTAAAACCTAGCACAACTACTTTTAAGATTAAATAAGTTTGACTAAAAATTCAATTTTTTCCTTTTGTCTTTTCAGTATTTTTGGTAAATCGAATGCCGTTAGCAGCAATAATGAAGTTATGAACAATACCTTGGCCAATGGTGTTAGCCATCACCACCATCACTATGATCTACATATACAACCACGACATTTATTGGATGATTCGGTACTGGAACAGCCGCAAAGTTGCAATGGTGCGGGTGGTGGCGTTGCCACGCCCAATGGATCCATACATTTGGGTGAAAACGCTGTGGACATGTTGAAATGTCATCTACATGAAGTCAGTCAACTACAAATACCCACTGATGAGGAGGGCGCTGGTAATACGCTCCAGGGTTGTGTAAGACGTAAAACGGTGCAAAAAGAGGGACGTAAACCGGCCGTGGCCTCATGGCAACGTTACTATATCCAGATCTGGGCCAACTCATTGGTTTATTTTCCACCTAAATCATTTAAGGGCAGTGAACGCAGCGATTTCAAACGGGAACCCTGTAAGGTGTGTCCCCTTGAAGGCTGGTATGCCCAGGTGGTTATTAATCCCAAACATAAAAACACTTTTGAACTGTATCACAGGGCTTTGGGAACAATTTATAAATTTCGCACGGACAGTCCACAGGCCACCCAGTTGTGGTGTAGTACGATTTGTAAAATTGCCCTGCAACAAAATAATAAGACACAAAAGGCGTTGCCTGTGAATTTAATGTCTTTCGAATAAGTTTTGGAAAGCAATATACACGTATATATACTATGGGGCAATCTAATTGTCTTTCGGAGATGGTGTAAGGCTTAACAAAACGCGTCGTAAAATAATAATGCAAACTACTTAAATGGAAAATCTAACCGGCCAAAATATGAAAAAAAGAAATAGAAAATGATATATCTATATATATTTTTTTGTGCTACTCTCTGTATGTTACGTTGTTAATTTAAGTAGTTATGTATGTGTTTATTGGAGAGAGGGTATAACTATACTATTTGTATATCGGGTTTTGAGATAGCTTAGTAAAGAAAACAAAAAAAAAATGGATATTTATAACCACCACTCACATATACACACATCCTACTCACCTAATATTATATTAAGCTTTATGCCAAAAAAAGAAAAGAAAATCAAGCGGGGAGTTACTCCCCAATTTTCCCTACTCACTAAACATAATACTCTTAGATTACAAGGTGCTATAACAGGGGATTGAGGATCTAAGAGGGGAAATTGTAATTGTAGTTTGAAAATTATCAATGTAGTAATAAAAAGAGGGGTGATAGATAATTATCAAATATCATTTTTTATAAACATTTTAAATAATTATTTTATTAAGATAATTAGGACCTGTTTTTGTGTGATGTTACAAAGGAGATTGCCAAAGGAAAACACCATTCATGGCCTCTTTCTGTGGAACAATTTGGTAGGGAACTCGAAGAAAAGCACTTTCCCTTGTATTTTATTCAAGTTTTTAATTTCTATTTATTTTGAAGAATACCCAAGAATTTGAGATTTTCTTTCGAGTTCACCTTCAAATCGTCCAACAGAAACAGACATTGAAAATGTTTTTTTTTTTCGAGTTTTTTTTTGAACTAAAAAAGAAAATAAAAACTTGGAATGCTCATTTGATATGATGTCTATCTTTTTCATTAACTTTCCTGCCGTCATACAGAAGAAAGAGGCCCTCAGATATTAAAATTTGGTTTTGCTTGAAAATAAGGTATTTGTTTCAATAGAATTCTGATATTTTATACCTTTATAATATAAAATCTCAATAACATATAGGACCCCGAACGTTTTTATACCCTCAGCCATATGGCTACAGAGGGTATATATCATTTGATACGGCCAAAACGTGCACATCGAAATAACGGTTTTAGACCCTAGGTCTCTTTGAGCCAAATTCGTTTCAGGGGATTTGGAGTCGATCTAGCGATGTCCGTCTGTCTGGCTGGTGCGAACGATAACTCTCGAAGGGATTTGGTCCAAACTTGGTACATCGTAATATTTTTGTGAAACTTAGATCGAGTTCGGAGATGGGCAATATTGGTCTACTCCTTCTAGTACCTTCTCCACAAAAGGTCGAATTTTTCAAAAAATATATATTTTCTGCATAGAAAGAGAAACGATAATCCGATTTTACTCTAACTTTGCAAATTCTAATATTTCTGTCAGTGCTAAGTCAGATGTGAAAATGGACAATATCGGTCCACTCCATCAAGTACCTCCCCCACAAAGGGCCAACATTTTGAATAAATTGTGATTTAAGGGTCCGATTGTCTTCAAATTTCACACATCCAAATGTTTTTATTAACCCAAGGTCTGGTGTAAAGCTGAAATACATCGGTACACTCCTTCTGGTACCTCCCCACAAATTCTAATATTTCTGTCAGTGCTAAGTCAGATGTGAAAATGGACAATATCGGTCCACTCCATCAAGTACCTCCCCCACAAAGGGCCAACATTTTGAATAAATTGTGATTTAAGGGTCCGATTGTCTTCAAATTTCACACATCCAAATGTTTTTATTAACCCAAGGTCTGGTGTAAAGCTGAAATACATCGGTACACTCCTTCTGGTACCTCCCCACAAAGGTCAAAACTTTCAAAAATATATTTTTTGCCCAGAAACGATAAACCGATTTTGATCCAACTTTGTAAATCCTTATATTTGCGTTAGTGCTAGGTCATGTGCGAAGATGAACAATATCGGTCCACTCCATCAAGTACCTCCCCCACAAAGGGTCAACATTTTGAATAATTACAACCCTTTTAAAATGTGATTTAAGAGTCCGATTGTCTTCAAATTTCACACATCCCAATGTTTTTATTAACCCAAGTTCTGGCGTAAAGCTAAAATACATTAGTACAGTCCTTCTGGTATCTCATCCACAAAAGGTCAAAATTTTCAAAAATTATAAATATTTTCAGAACAGAAAGAGAAAATGGACAACATTGGCCTATTCCTTCAGAACCCACTCCATAGTTTGAATAATCAAAACAGAAGTCAAAATATATTTAAATACAATTTAAATAAAAAGGGTATACGTCTGTCGGAAGAACCGATTGATACTTTTTAATTTGTTAAATTCATTCTAGTCTCCGCCGATTTTTTGTAAATAAACTCTTATCTTTTGCACTACATTGAAAATATTCAAATTGTAGTTTCATAAAAACCTCTCATTAGATACCTCCCCTAAGTCTTTTCAAAATACATATATATTTCACAAGCACCCTGTAATTAGTTTTATCTTAAAATCGCTCCTAAACAAAATGCAAGCATAGAACAAGAACAACAACAATATTTAATTTCTAAGACTGACAATAATTGAAGAAACAAAAAAAGAACACACTCACACGCTAAAACAAATAAAAAACTGAAAAACCTAATACTTTATACATATTTACCTACATCTAATGTGTTTAGAATAACTAAAAGAACATTTTGTTAAATACTTTGTAATATTATCTGTTTAGTCTTTCCAATTTCTTTTTCACACTTAGCTGTAATTTATGAATGTTAAAAAAATGAATCCAACAAGAACAACAGTAACAACAACTCAACGAATTTTTCGATTAGTATTAATTCTATAGATGTAAAAAAAAAACAAACCATATAAACAATTTTTTTATTTAAGTTATTTTCTAGAATACAAATACCAATCACTCTACACATACACACCTTCACAGTTTTCTCATTGTATTTAAGTTATTACATTTTTTTATAAAACCAATATTTTTATACATTCTTCTTTTTATTTAAGTGCTAAGTTTAAGTTATGCCACCAAATCACTCACTCTCACGCCCTATTACCAAAATGCCATTAAATTATTATCGCAACACTTTAAGATGCTCTAAAACCACACATACACACACACGCGGAATCGAAATGAAAATCAAAAGAATTCAAATTTCTCTAATAAGTTTTCACCTAAAGAAAAAAAAAAATGCATGAAAAAATGATGGGAAATACTTTCACTAAATAATGAAGTTTTTTTCCAACGAAAAATAAAATAAAAAAATTAAAAAAAAAACTATTTAAAATCAAATGGATGTATTTTATTTATTAAACAATTGTAATGGGTCATCTCTAATGTATCGGGCAGTAGGTCATAAAAGAGAATTTGATATGATGAAAAATAATGGAATAGTTAGGCTTTGGATGCGCAGCTGGAAGTTTATGTAAGATAGCTACTAACCTCGTTGGCCAGCGGTGCATTTTGTTGCTGAACAGATATAGGAAAGAGATTTAATCTCGTAGGTATAAGATTTCTCTCCACTTAAGAGGCACCACAAAAATTTACGATAGGAGATCGGGACATTATAGACCCGAAATTCCTGACAACTGCTAAGAATATGTTCATTTGTGTCCACTCTTTCTTCTGCATAGTCACTCTGCAGAATTAAGCGTTTTCCTGCCCCAGTGACTTCTGTGGGAATTGTTGCTTCGGATTTACTGAAAGAAAGAGAGAGAGAGAGAGAAATACTTTTTCAAGTTGACTAATGAACATGTAGACAAGGGAATGTTGGTTTTGTCTTTTTATTCAGGTGGCTCTCAGAACGCTTTTGTTTGGTCAACATGCCGATTGAGCCAGTAGATCCACTTGACTTCAAACACATTCAGTCGTTTTTTATACCCTACAACACTATGTGTTGGGGGTATTAAATGTTTGATTTTGCCAAAAATTATGTAACACCTCGAAATATTGGTTTCCCACATAGGAAAGTATATATGGATCTAGCAATGTATGTCCGTCCGTCCGTCCGTCTGTCCATGTTAATTTGTAATCAATCTACAGGTCGCAATTATTGCCCGATCTTCACGAAATTTAGAATGGAGGTGGGGATAGGGTCAGAATAGAACCCTATTTCTTTTGGAGATGATCGCATAATATTTAGGAGTTGAAATGAACCAAAAACTGATTTTGCAGTTGCTCTACAGGTCGCAGTTATAGACCAATCGACGCGGAAGTTAGCATGGGGCTAGAGCTTAGGGCTGGGCAGAATCCTTCCAATTTTGATGGTCATCGGGCAATATTTAGTGAGTGAAATAGAACATAACATTTGTGTTAAATAAATTTAGTTTTTTTCATTAAACCGCGAATATTTTTAATGCCGGCGAAATCACAAATAGACGAACAGGTCAATTTTGACCGTTACGTATATACCAATAATAAATATATCGGATATATATAGCGAAATATATACAATGTATATATGCAAAGGAAGGGGATGTTAGCTAGAATGCTTATATCTCAAGAATGGCGGGACCGATTTTGACAAATTTTGTCAATCCAGAATACCCTCCTGGCATAAAAGAATAAAATCTAAAAAAATCGCATTGAAAGATGCCAATAATGACGTTAATCTATATTTTGTAGTATTTTCTGACATTTTTTTATACCCTCCACCATACTATGGAGGGTATATTAATTTTGTCATTCCGTTTGTAACTCCTCGAAATACTCATGTCAGACCCAACAAAGTATATATATTCTTGAACAAATTGAGATAGAAGGCTAAAATTTGACACACATGTATATTTTGCCAGTAGGCAGGTTAAATTCGTCCATATAACGGTACCTACCGATATTCGGTGATGATTTTAGCGACATTATTTACCGGAATCGTTTCAAATTTGGTATTTGAAGTTCGTAAGGGATACTTCAGCCATTTTTCTTCAAGTTCCGCATTGATAACTTGTGATAACTTATGACAAAAGTTGCCTATGCAGGTCCACGTCGTCGTATAGGCATTCGGTATTTTTAATATTTTAACAGAATTTTTAACGGATTTTATTTTTTTGGAAATTGCCAAATTTGTACCAAAAGGTGGAGGGTATTAAAAGTTCGGCCCGGCCGAACTTACAGCTTTGTTACTTGTTATTGGTAAGAAGGATACCATATGATCAGAAACCGACGCAGTATTTCTAAGACAGCTTTATAACCCATTTTTATCCGGAATAACACTCAAGATTTTTTCAAAACCGATTTACCGTGAAAATAAGAAATCCTCTCATAACAGGATATATTTGAAATCCCATGCAGAATCTTCATACCAACGGAATGCATCACTGTTTTTATGTGGTACTCTCCGATTCCTTCAAAGTCCTTTGCATTGACACAAGAAAAAATAAAGTATCTATTCAATTTTTACTATCTTTGAGGACTTTATTTCGCATCTAACAAATAATTTTTAAACCGTTAAATTCCACTGCTGGTCACCAAATAAAATAGGCCATTGTACTGTTTTTTATGTCGCCCGGCTGTTGCGAACATGAAGCCCAAATTGTTGTTTTTTCACTTCAATGGAATTCAATGTTTGGACATGATTTGTTTATCCACGCCATGGGTTATTAGATAATACCGTATTCGTGATATTCCCGAAACTGGGTCTCTTTTTTATTGATCCGCGGCGATGCATTCACAGCAATGAAGCCGACTACTCCATTAAACTAAAATGTGATTTGAATAATGGGCATTGTGTGTATATGATGGAGGGAGGGAAGGGGGATGTGTAGGTGAAGAGGGTACTTATGCGAGTCGCATGGATGTAATCACAGTACATGGGCGTACAATGTTCATTAACCGGCACACGGTGTCTATCGATTTATCACCTTTTGGTGGCCGCCATGTGGTGAATTTAAATGCTCCGCTTTTGTTTTTACAACATTGCCATGGTGAATATTTAAAACTTATTTCCAATTCGGTTTTGTTGTGGAAGAAATGAACTGAAATATGTCCAAAGATGTATTTAATTGTACAACATAAGTGAGTGGCTTCAGATTAATCAAAAATACCTTGAACTGGGAAGTGGTCTTGGCGGAAGTGAAATTAGAAAGAAATAAAAAGAAGGAAGTGTATCAAAATTGGTTTCGAATTCAAAATTACAAAAAAATGAAAGTGAGTAAAATTTAGAGCATCTGGAAATAAAGTTTTGGTTTTAAAAAAATTTATAAAAACCCTTCCTGTAATCACAGTTTTTACTTACTGCCCTGCTGTGCATCATGTCGGTAACATTGATCAGCTATACCTCGGCCCTGACCACCACCAAGACTGAAATGTAAGATTTTGAAATTGTGTTCACTATTTAGAAAACAATTTTTTTGATATCCTTCAATTTACAGTGTCAAACACACAGACTCCGATCCGGAAAAAGAAGGCTTTTGGGCCCGCAAAGAATCCTGGAAATCACGTTGGGTCAAATATTGGCGTCCGAAAACAATTTATGTTCCCGTTTGGAAAAAAGTCTGGACACCGGTTATTCAAAACGAATGGGTACCACTGCCCAACTCGCCTGTAGGATGGTCCAAGCATGACAAGAGTTCCGTCAGTGAAATAGTCTATTAAGGATTTAGTATATAAGTTAACGAAGCGTGAATTTGGATTAAGGTTATAACCATACACAAATTCATCCTCTTGCTTTTTGTTCCATTTTAAAACTTGCCATATATTTATATGTAATGTATTTATTTATTTATTGAAATATAATTTATTTTAAAACCGCAAAGGGGAATTCATTTTGGGATAGACGGCATGAAGAGTGCTGAATTGCAGAGAAACTATAGTATATGTTATGTTGGCTCAAATGAAAGATTTTGAGGAGTGTTTTCAGGATATATATGCTTTATTTTTCAAAATTATTTTCAATATTACTATTTTTCCGATTGTCGGACTAAAATGCATAAAAAAATGACTTAATTGCATAGAGTGATATGTTAAGACCAAGGGAAAATTAAAGGCATCAAGAACTACTGCCTCATTTTTATACCCTCCACCATACTATGGAGGGCATATTAACTTTGTCAGACCTAAGAAAGTATATATATTCTTGATCAGCGTAAAATTCTAAGTTGATTTAGCCATGTCCGTCTGTGCGTCTGTTGTAATCACGCTATCTTTCGAACGAATTGAGGTAGAAGACTAACATTTTGCACACATGTTTATTTCTCCAGTAGGCAGGTTATGTTCGTAAATGGGCCATGTGGGTCCACGTTTCCATATAGCTCCCATATAACGGTACCACCCGATGTTCGGTATTTTGATGATTTTAGCGACATTATTCACCAGAATTGTTTCAAATTTGGTATTTGAAGTTCGAAATGGATACTACAGCCTAAGACAGGAAACTGTCTGTGCAGGTCCATGTCTTCGTATAGCCCCCATATAACGGTACCTCCCTATATTCGGTATTTTGATGATTTTAGCGACATAATTAGCCGGAATTGTTTAAAATTTGGTATTTGAAGTTCGTAATAGATACTACAGCCTAAGATAGAAAATTGTCAGTGCAGGTCCAGGTCTTCGTATAGGCTCCATATAACGGTACCTTACGATATTCGGTATTTTGATGATTTTAGCGTCATTATTCACCGGAATTGTTTCAAATTACTTATTAAGAGCTCGTAATGGAAACTACAGTCTGTGACAGAAAGATGTCTATGCAGGTCCAGGTCTTCTTATAGGCCCCACATACCAGTACCCTATATACTGTATTTTGATGATTATAGCTACATTGTACACCGTTTATTTCAAGTTTCGAATTTGAATATGGTAATGGCTTATAACAAACAATGCCTATGTAGGTCCACGTCGTATAGACCCCAATATAAACTATATGCGCTATTTTAAAATTTTAACAGAATTTTTAAGGATTTTATTTTTTGAAATTTTCCAAATTCGTAATGTGGCCCGGCCACCAAAGTTCGGCGCGGCCGAACTTAATGCTTTTAATTTGTTTAAAATTGTTTCTCAAATCTCGTATCCTCCGATTTTTTGGAATGTTTGGATTTTGACTAAACTTCATGAAGAATCCTGAATATCAGAAAAACTATAAAACATATCCTGTTGAGAACAAGCTTAAGTGAAAGATCTCAAGAAGTGCCTTAAGAATATATATTTGCCTAATTTTTAAAAATTATTTCTAATAATTGGATTTTTCCGGTAAATCTGGTAAATAATGGAAAAAAGTAAAAAAATAAAGGGGGTTGGGCCGTTATATGGGGGTCCTTATATGGGTGTCCTATTAAAACGGGAACCTCTATAGGCAATTTTACACTTCAAGGATTGTCATCTAGCAAATCTTCTTAAATGCCGAAAAAAATGTGAATGTAAATGTGACTAGGATCATAAAAATACCGAATACCGGAGGGCACCGTTATATGTGGGCTATACAAAAAAACGTGGACCGATATATCTCATTTATATATCATTTAATATGGCCAAAATGTGCCTCACCGAAACAACGGGTTTTGACCCTAGGTATCTTTGCACAAAATCCATTTCAGGACATTTGGAGTCGATCTAGGGGTGTCCGTCCGTCCATCCATCCGACCGTCTGTCTGGCTGATGCGCACAACTGTCGAAGGGAGTATCCGACATGGTCCTAACATGGTATTTTGTAATATTATTATCAAACTTAGATCGATTTCGGAGATTGGCAAAATTTTCACAGAAAATAATTTACCTTATAGAACAAGAGAGGAAAATTCGATTTTGTTCCAAGTCTGGTACGAAAGTGGGCAATATTGGTCCACTCATCAAGTACGTCCCCCCTACAAAGGTTCAACAATCCCACGGCAGCGGGTTCTACGACACCGGATTGACCCGAAACAACAACACTCCAGTTTCGGCCAGCGGCTGCCAACCCAGTGTATACATGTTCGTGTTTGTTTATTTTTCTGTTTTGGGAGCAGCACATCCCGGAATGCTTGCTCCGGATTCTTTTGGTCCGTGCCGGGCTTGAGGAAAACCCCGGACCATGGTTCTGTACGGTTTGCCAAAACACCATCCACCATAGATCAGTCTCGGTGCGATGTAATGGATGCAGAGGATGGGTGCATTTTAGAAATTGTTCCGGTTTAACCCGGTTGCGAGACTATAGCGATAGGGACTATGTTGCTTCGTGCTGCACCAACGTAGTCCCCAGTGAGTCCACGACCTCGTCGTCAACTTCCGAGTCGTCGTCGGAGTATGGAACTCCCCCGCAGTCTCCAGAACAGCAACCTTTACCGCAGCACTTAACGCCACATGTTGCTGTTCCAATTCCGGACAATGCATCGTTCTTGCAGTTCAATTGCAACGGACTCCGAGGTAAAATTGATGAGATAGTGGATTTTATGAATCGGAGGAATATCAAGATCGCAGCGGTGCAGGAAACCAAACTCAATGAAAATTGTAGCTTACAACGTTGCAATGGTTACAACGTATTGAGGAAAGATCGCACCAGAAGTGGAGGTGGGGGATTAGCGTTCCTGATACACCATTCTGTTCAATACAGACCTATCTCGCTTGAGCTAGTCTCTAGTGACCCGTACATGGAGTGTATGGGGGTAGCAGTCAAGTGTGGTACTGCCGAGGTAGAGGTGCTTAATGTGTATATCCCGCCGGTTAATATCTGTGAACCGCGTTACTTGCCTAATATAAGCCCACTTTTGGAAGGCAATAACCGCCTGGTCCTAGGGGACTTCAATGCCCACCATGAGTTGTGGCATTCCGTCCTAGGTAATGACCAGAGGGGATCAGCGTTGGCAGAGCAGATTGACTGCTCCACATTTTGCACGGTAAACGAGGATGCCCCCACCCGAATAAGAGGAGAGTGTCACAGTTCGCCAGACTTAACCATCGTGTCACCCGGTCTGATAAATGACGTGACTTGGCAACCCGTCATTTCTCTTGGCTCAGACCATCTCCCGATAATCGTCTCCATCAGCAGATCGCCCGATTTCATAACCTCTGAACGCCGCACTTTCCTTAACCATGGGAAAGCCCACTGGCCCGAGTTCAGAGAGTTCACCAACCTTCGCTTCAGAGAACTGCCCAATCCTTCTGATGTTCGGGTAGCTGAAAGGATTTTCCGGGACATCATCAAAGCTGCAGCCGCTCGCTATATACCTGCTGGTCGAATACCCGAAGTAAGACCAAATTTCCCAGCAGAGGCAGCGGGATTAGCGAATGAGCGTGATGAGCTCCGACGTACCAACCCTACTGATCCCAGAGTCAGTGAACTGACAGTGGAAGTCAACCGGTTGGTACAGGAGCATAAGCGGAAAAAGTGGCTAGACCATCTGAAGTGTTGCAACATCGGAACCGATTTGAGTAAATTGTGGGTAACGGTAAAGTCACTCTCGAACCCTGGGAAAATGGATGATAGGACAGCAGTCACATTTAACGACGTAACTGTGACTGATCCGAAGAGGTGCGCTGGCTGTTTTAACCGCCAATTTGTCGAGCACCCCGAGAGTGATAGGGCGAGGCGAAGAGTACTACGTCGTATAAGAGCTCTTCCCGCCGAGGATGTACCTCCACAGTTTACGATGGGTGATGTTGCAAATGTCATCCGAAACGCTGAGTTATCTAAAGCGTTGGGCCCGGACGGAATATCAATGGTAATGTTGAAGCAACTGGATACGCCGGGAGTTGAGTATTTAACCAAAGTCCTTAACTTGTCGTTAGCCACCCACATAGTTCCCGAAGCCTGGAAAATGGGCAGGGTGGTCCCGCTACTGAAGCCTGGCAAGGATGCCAGCAAAGGCGAATCATACAGGCCAATTTCGCTTTTGTCGCCAGTAGCAAAGACTCTCGAGGCCTTACTCCTCCCCAGTATCAGAGGAAGCTATTCAGTTGCTAACCATCAACACGGTTTCCGTCCACTACATAGCACTACAACAGCATTGCACGCCATATCCACACATATCAGTCGAGGACTCAACCAGAACAGGCCGTGCCACAGAACAGTAGTGGTGGCTCTCGACCTATCAAAGGCCTTTGATACGGTCAACCATGCCACGCTGTTCGAGGACGTTGAGAACACTACCCTCCGGCCAAGTTTGAAACGTTGGATAGTCAACTATATGTGTGGACGCCAGTCGTACGTGGAATTCCGGAATAAGAAGTCCAAGCCTCGTAGAGTGAAACAGGGAGTTCCCCAAGGTGGGGTGATATCTCCGGAACTGTTTAACCTCTACCTTTCCGGAATTCCGCGCCCTCCAGACGGCATCGAGATCGTAACTTATGCGGATGATTGTACGATCATGGCGTCGGGTCCTGTAGTTGATGACATATGTGTCAGGGTGAATAATTATCTCGCGGAGCTTGCCGCCTTCTTCTACGCGAGGAATATGAAAATATCCGCCACTAAATCGACGGCCACACTATTTACCACATGGACTGCGGAGATGAGAACACAGCTGAATGTGCAGGTCGAGGGGCATATAATTCCGACCACCAACTACCCCAAAATTCTTGGGGTCACATTCGATAGCATGTTCAAGTCTTCCGCGCAAGCCACAGCTATTTGCGATAAAATGAAAAGTAGGAACAAGGTCCTCAAGGCGCTAGCCGGCAGCACTTGGGGTGCGGATAAAGAAACCTTGTTGACCTCTTATAAAGCGATAGGTCGGTCTGTGGTTAGCTATGCGGCTCCAGTGTGGTCGGCGAATACAAGTGCAACGCAGTGGAAATGTATTCAGACCTGCCAGAATGCCGCCCTGAGAACTGCAACAGGGTGCCTCCTCATGACGCCTGTGGACCACTTACATGAGGAGACGAAGGTTCTTCCCTTACGTCAGCACAATCATATGCTTTCGTTGCAGTACCTGCTTGGGTGTTATCGCGGGAGTCACCCTAACCACCATATGGTGGATAGAACTCCCCCACCCAGGCGTGTCAGGAAGGACCTGCACGATCTAGAGAGAGAGGTCCAGCGATATAAGAGAGAGCCTCTAGATCATGAAGCCTATCAAGCAGGTCTGAATAGCATTCATACTGATGCAGTCGCTGAGGTAGTCAATAATTACAGTGTGAATGCCATACTCGGAGTCCACCCCCCATCCATTGCAGCTGAAGAACGTCGGCTGCCTAGGCAAACCAGGGTAGTTTTGGCCCAACTACGTTCAGGATGGTGCAGCCGTCTCAATTCGTATTGGGCACGAATTGATGAGGATGTGCGGAACGCCTGCCCAGCGTGTGATACAGGCCCGCACAACACGCTGCATTTGTTTAATTGTCCTGCCAAGCCTACCCAACTCCGTCCAGAGGATCTATGGCTACAGCCCATAAAGGTAGCAGAATTCCTAAACCTGGACATTGAGGAAGAACCAGATTAGTCGAAAAAAAAAACAACAGAACGTGTAAAACTGCTACAACAACAACAACAACAAAGGTTCAAAATTATGAATAGTTATAAATCTAATAAAATGTGAAAAAAGAGTCTGATTGTCTTCAAATTTGGCACATTCCAATATTTCTTCAAACAGAAGATCTGGTATGAAGAATACAGGGTGAGATGAAAAAACTGCATCCAATTTCAGACTGCTGTCATTTCTAAGGCACTCGACCGACAGCTGTTAAAATTATTCCAGTGACAGCTCATTATATCGTTTACAAGTGTACAAGAGCATTTTGGTGAGAATTTTTCAGAAAAAAAGTTATACGTCATGGAATTCAAGCGGGATAGTGTGATTTATTTATATTTGGCTGGAAAACCACAAGTGGCTATCGTTGAAGCACTCCAGCATTCAAATGTGAATAAATCTTTTGTGTCTCGTACCATCGCTCGTTACCGTGATACTGGTAGCCCAGCCCGACGTAAAGGACGTGGACGGTAGAAAACAGCAACATCAGCAGAACATCAGCTTCGAAAAGTAAAGACGCGACTTGATCGAAACCCGCGTCGCAGTGGCCGAAAAATGGTTCGTGAGCTGATCATGTTGCAATATTCCATTCGGCAAATATTGAAAAATGAACTCGGGGTAAAGCCATTGAAATTCCAAAAAGTGCAAGAACTTACAGTGCAACAGAAAGAAAATAGACTCAAAAGAGTTACGTCGCTTGGCCGAAAGTGGTGAACTGCCGAATTTGGTTTTCTCCGATGAGAAAACATTCGTTGTCCAGCAGTTTGTAAACAAACAAAATCAGCTGAAAACGTGCATCTTCGGTTGGCCACCAGAACTCATGCGCCGGCCACGGTGATGGTGTGGGCCGCCATAACAGCCGATGGTCGCTCTACGCTCGTATTAATCGACCCTGGCATCAGAATAAATGCCGAAAATTATCGCGAAAATATTCTGGAGGGTGTATTGAAGCCTTGGGCACGCAAACATCTTGGCCGCAGACCTTGGACATTCCAACAGGACTCAGCACCATCGCACTTAGCACGCGCCACCCAAGAATGGTTACAAAATGAGGTTCTTGCTTCATTTCCAGCGCAAAATGTCTGGAGTATTTTGGAAAGCAAGGTTGACACTAAAAAAATACCAAAGTGTCGACCACCTCAAGCAAGCGCTTCGCTGGGAATGGGCCAAAATACCGCAGAGCAACATTTGGGCAGCGTGTGACGGTTTCATTGGCCGTTTGAAGGACATAATGTGTGCCAAAGGTGACCAATTTGAACAAATCTAAACTTATTCTAAAATTTGATGCTATTTCCGAAATTTTTTGCTTTTATTCATTCAAAAGAAAAAAAATGGCGTTTGACTTTGTTGCATTTTTTTTTCATCTCACCCTGTATATATATATTGATTCCTAACGTCTTGGTAAGATTTAGACTTTCGAGTTCTTCTGGAACTTATGGTAGAATTTTATTGCTTTTAAAGAGAGTTTTTAATCAAATTTTCAAATATGGCCGAAAATACCCATTTGGTGACCCGCTTTAGGATTAAATTTTTTATCAAAATAATTTTCTTATTATTATGGGCAATATTGCGAAGACAATATGTACCTAAAATGCAAGGATTCTATGGAATCTGTATCTAAAAATTTAAAAAAATGTGCAGGAAAGGGGATCATACCCTCTTTATTTGGGTTATTTTGTGATATAGTCTTTCAAAACGCCGAAACACTTGTCTTCTATTTTAGATCTACTTTCAAAATCTGATGGACTTTTTTTTTTGGTGTTGCACAGTATTTTTACCCCAGAAATGCAAGTTCTGGTTGATTCAGCCGGAAATAAATGAAAACACAATTTGCTAAAAAATAATACCTTTTATTAATAAAAAAGTTCATTTACTTAGAGATACATAGCTTACAAAATACAATTATGACTTAGGCTAAGCGAAACGCTGAGTAAAAAAATCTCAAAACGCTTTCTTCATACTAAAGTTATGAACAAAATTAAATAATAATAAAAAAATACAATTAAAATAATTTAAATAAAAAGAGATAAAATGATGAGACTTCGGGAGTAGCAGAGCAGAGTAAGTGTTATAGCATTTATAAAGAGAGGAAAGAGACTGAGAGAGAATCAGTAAGACAGAATGGAAAGAGAGTAAGTTGGGAAAAGAAACTGTGGAAAAATGAAATCTTGCATTATGTACAAAGAAGAAAATGCCTGCGAAAGGCACTCAGAAAAAATGGCCTAATTTCCTAGAAACTATTTATTGACTTTATGCCTTCGTTGTTTACGCTCCAGGAAATTTAAATGCTTTGGAGGATTCCTTTTGTATTGTATCAATGGGTTTCTGTTGGAAATCCCTGGTTTGTACTGGCTGTAGTTGGGTGGATTTTTGTACATTGCCATTGGCCGCGCCACCATTGGCGTTAACTGAATTTTCGTCTCGTTTCCACACCACCTTATCGCTTTTCGAGTCCTTGCGATCCCAACCATGTTCCAGCTCATGGTGATGTTCCACCTCGTGATGGTGGTGATCATGATGATCTGGTGTGGGGAACCATTCGGAAATAATAACCGGCTTCCAGATCTTTTTCCAGTCGGGCACCCAAACCTCTTTCCAGCCAGGTACCCAGATTTGCTTCCATGCCTCCTTCCATTCCAGTTTCTTGTCTTCCACCCAGGTTTCCTTCTTTTCCGTCTTCCAAATTTGTACCCATGACTCTTTCCATTCGAGTTTCTTGTCTGGTACCCAAATTAGTTTTTTGGCTGGTTTCCAAATCTGTTTCCAGGCTTCCTTCCATTCGAGTTTTTTGTCATCGACCCAGACTTGTTTCTTACCCGGTTTCCAAATTTGTTTCCATTCTTCTTTCCATTCCAGTTTCTTGCTGGGCACCCATATTTGCTTCTTGGCCGGTTTCCAGATTTTCTTCCAATGCGATTTCCATACCAATTTCTTTTTCCACAAATCATGGCTGGTGTATTCCCAACCCTCGTGATCCTTGCCCAGATACTTTTCACCTGGTATGCCCACCTTTATCCATTCCGGTGTCCAATATTGTTTCCATTCGGGTACTTGGATTTCTTTCCAGGCCGGAACTTGTATCTCTTTCCACACCGGCACCCAAATTTGTTTCCAGGCGGGTACTTGTATATCTTTCCAGGCTGGCACCTTGGTGGGCACCCAAACTGGTTTCCAGATTTTCTTCCAATCGGGCACTTGAATCTCTTTCCAAGCCGGCACTTGTATCTCCTTCCACACGGGTTTCCAAATTTGTTTCCATGCCGGTACTTTCACCTCTTTCCAGGCGGGAACTTTAACGGGAACCCAAACAGGTTTCCAAATCTGTTTCCACTGGGGTATCCAAATTTGTTTCTTGGCAGGCTTCCAGATTTTCTTCCATCCCTCTTTCCATGTGACTTTCTTTTTCCAATAGCCTGGATCGTGATGATGTTCATGGTGATGGTGATGATACTCCTCGCCAAGATCTATCCTCTGCTGGGCAACTTGTGAGATTTGTGATTCGGAGGTTTGCTGATCAATGGCGACGGCATTTTTGGGAATTTGAGGTTGCAGTTGTTGTTGTTGCGGTTGAGGTTGTGGAAGAATGGGTTGGGGTTTGGGATCTGGTAAGGCCTTACCATGGATGAGGGTGGTGCCTATCAGTAAGACACTAAACGCTGATAACTGAAATGAAAATAGAAGAGAGAGAGGGAGAGAAAGAGAATGAGAAGAGAGATGGATTAGTAAAGAGATTATCTTGAAGAGTAAAATGCCAATAAGCTAATAGCTATTGAAAGGTGAGCCTATTAGTCTTCTATGAGAAGAAGAGCTATTGTTCTCCTATGAGAAGGGTCTAATATTATATTAGGAAAAGAGAGGAAGATTTATTGCACTTCTAGAGAAGAAGATGAATTGATATTTTATAAGAAGACCCAATGGAAGTCTACTAGAAGACCCATTGCTATTCTCTTAAAAGAATCATTGATCTTTTTTAAAAAGAACAATTGGCACTCTTTTGGAAGAGCCATTGGTCCTCTTTAAAAAGACCGAATGGGGTTTCTTTAAAACTCCAATTGGTCTTCTGTGAAAATAGCCATATATTAGAGAGATCCCCCTCTTGCTCTTCTAGAGAAGAGGTCGCATTGGTACAAGATCAATTGGGCTTCTGAGCGAATTACCACTGATCTTCCAAAAAGCGACCTTTTGTTCTTAGAGTCTCAATGGTCTTCTATGAGAAAAAGGCCTATTGGTCTTCTTAGAGAAAAAGGTCCATTGGTCTTCAATTAGAAGACCCATTCTTATTTTTATACCCTACACCACAAGGTTGTCAGGGTTTTATGTCTTTGTGCATTTGTTTGTAACAGGCAAAAGGAAACGAGATAGACCCATAGTTCCTTTTGATGATCTGCATAGAATCACTTTCTGAGTTGATTTATGCATGTCAGTGCGTCTGTCCGTCCGTCCGTCTGTCCATGTATTCTTGTGAACAAAATGCAGGTCGCATTTATTATCCGATTGAGATGAAATTTTGCAACCAACATTTGTTTGGCTCAAGGACGAACCCTATTGAAATTGGAGATAATCGGTAAAAATTTAGATATTGCTCCCATATATATCTTCGTCCGATTTGCCTTTTATTGTGCACCAAACGTGTAATATCAGCCCGAATAGTATGGAATTTTGCACATTCAACCAAATTAGGCCTGAAAATAAGTATGCCAAATTTTATCGAAATCGGTTCAGATATAGCTATAGCTCCCATATACATATATTGTTCATCCGATTTGTTATTTTTGTCCTCCGCAGCCGTAATATGCACTCCGTAACAACGATATTCAGGGAAATATATCAAATACAGCTCAGAAATATCTTTGCCAAATTTTATCGAGATCGGTTCAGATTTGGATATAGTTCCCATATATATTTTTATCCGATTTCAAATTAATTTCGCACCAAATGGGCAATACAAGTCCGAATTTAAAATATACAATTGCTTCGGCATATTTAGTCCTTTGAATTTTAAATTATAATTATAATCATAGCGTGTATGATTGAATTCTCCCATAAAAACTTTTAATTATTAAGTGGAGCTCAACTAAATTAGCAAAGTCGTGTAGGGTATCATAAAATCGGCCCCGCCCGACTTTAGGACTTTCTTTACAGGTTTAATAGAAGGCCTGCTATGAGAAGACTGCTATGAGAAGACTTGTTGGTCTTCTAGGAGAGGTCTTTCAAAAATTGACCTGTATGCATTTTTAGTGTCTAATTTTATCTATTGGTCATAAGAAGACCCATACGTCATATTGAAGAAGACTACTGGTCTTCTATGAGAAGAAGAGTTCTTTATCGTCGAGACTACTGGTCTTCTATTAGATCACCTTTTTTTATAAAAAAATCAACAAAAATAGTTGGCCTTGCAATAAAATTAATTTTTTTCGAATCAAATACTGTCTTCAAAAAATATTTTTCAGTACAAAATTTTTCGTAGAAGAGTTCATAACGTTTTGTTTTTTTTTATAAAATTTAAAAAATATTTTTTTTGAAAATTATTTGAAATAAAAACCTTTAAAAATCTTTGAAAATGGAGGTGGTGAGAAAATCAGCAAATCCATTTATGTTGTTTATGACCGATTATCGCGATGAGTTGGCCAAGAGAGGTGTACGCAATGTGCCAGCCAGCGAAATATCCAAAATGGCCGGAGAAAATTGGCGCAGCATGTCGCCCAAAGAGAAGCTGTCGTATCAGGTGTGGGCGTCGAAAAACAAAAGCCTCAACGATGCAACACGACGACCACGAGCCGCAGAATCTAGACGTCGTGCACGGAGACAATCCTCAACGCCCATGGGACGAAAAAGTCGTCGCGGCCGCCGTCGTAGTCGTACATCGAGAAGCATGAAGCCAATGCGAAGAAGCAGAAGGTCAAGGACAATGTAAAAATTTAAAATAAATGAAAATTGTCATAGGTTTTTAGTCAAATGGTGTGTGAATAAATGTCATTAAAAAAAATTAAAAATATTAAAATTGAATTGATATTTTTTGAAGGAAATTTCAATTTTAATGATGGGATTTTTTGTCGACTTCATTTGTCAAATGTAAACTTTATAAGTCGTAATATTATAGGAAAATCTGTTAAGCTGCCAACTGAATTCAGAGTATAGCTTCAACTACATTGATATTTATGAGGGCATGGGTAGGACAGGTCCCATAGGTTCAGTGTGTTATTCTGCCCTCTGAACCATGCCAGACAAAGTAAACATTCAACGATAAGAATTTGAGAAATTCTAAGTGGAGGCAATAGTATCAGCTCATTCCAAAAAAAGATTTTTTTAATTTGGTAAAATAATATGGATTGCTGCTAGGTTGGTATTAAAAATCGGTCATTCGGTCCAATAAAGCTTCCATGAAACCGTATTTTCATTACATAATCCCATCGATTTTGCTGAATTTTGGAATTTTTACATCTCCGAGAAAAAAAGAAATGAATTTCAATATAGGTACATGTTTCATATGAATGTATTTTTGAAAGGCTTTAGTATGAGGTCAATGGTCATGACAGTAGAGCAAAAGCCCGCATACGTTTTGAGTGGTAAGGCTAATTTTTTTAGGCTCCATTATACTCGTAATCTGAACGAATATTTAGACAGAGGGGCAATTTTTTGAGACATTTTGGAACCACTTTTGACTTTTGCACCCTGCATTAAAATGTATAATATCGGTCCATTTCTTATATAGACCCTATTGGTCCATTTTTTTTGACTTTTTTAATTGAAGCCATTTACAATCTTTTTAATGTAGATTTCGGCATGGCTTTCCAATTTCAGATTCCGTTGAATGCTTTGTCACATTTTCTAAAAACGTTGGCTGCAAACTTTCTTTTTGGTACTGACAAATGTTAAATTTTTTTGTAAATGTTTTTTTTTTTTTTTAATGGACGTAAACTTTTTAAATAAAAATTCTACAAGAGTGTGGATTTTTTGAAAATATTTGAAAACAAGTAAGCAAAGGCTACAGTCGAGCGGGGCCGACCGTTGAATACCCTACAACACTATAATAAACCATACAGTTTATATAGGCGAGATACTCGAAAGAATTCCACAAGATATTGTGACAAATAATAAAAGAAAACCATCAGGTTCCGTTCTCTAATTTTCGAATAATAGCAACTTAAACTAATTTGCTCATTTCCAATTTATTGGTAGATGTTGCACGTAAATGGTCTTCCTAGATCTGGAACCAATATTTCCCAAAGACCTATAATCTCTCAGAAATGGCAAAAGATTTTCCTTTATTATTGGTTTTTGACTGAAACGCATCTATATGAGATACAGACATTTGACTATATTCTTCAACGAAATCAGACTTAACGAAATAGTCAGAAGTGCGTCTTTCCTGTATTTGTGAATTCTCCAAAAAGTCACTGGAATGGACATTTTCGTATTTTGTCTACAAAAGTTGGCAAACTATTTCACACATTGAATATTTTTGGATGGCCATCCAAAACTACTTGGCTTTTGTAATGTCCAGTAACCCCCATTCAAATGTGCGTGAAAATCGGGCGATAATTACGACCTGCAGACAATTTTGCAGTTTTTTGGTCCATTTCAACCCCTAAATATATGGCGATCATCTCCAAAAAGAGTAGGCTTTTATTCTGACCCTCATCTTATCTCCATGCAAAATTTCGTAAGGATCGGACCATAAATGCGATCTGTATATGATATCCTGATATCCTAACTACTTAGTTTTGTTAGCTGTAGAAATATTACCAAATGTTTAATTCAAAATGAAAATATGCCAAAAATTTGACAAAATTGAAAAAATATGAGAAAATATTACAAAATCAATATTTTCATCTTTAGAGAGATATTTTAATGCGATTTTTTAGATGTTTTTTCTTTCCTGCCAAGAGGCCATTCTGAGTTAATGAGAACTGTCGAAATCAGTTCAGCCGTTCTCGACATATAAGAGATCTTTCAAGCATATCTTCTTTGATAGACATATATATCGCACATATTTTGCTATATATCCGATTTCTTGGATGTTAACATCAATGTAAAGATCAGAAGTAACCTTGTCATGGCTTTGTGATTTCGCCGGGATTTAAAATATTCGCGGTTTAATGAAAATTTTTGAATTTTTTCAACACAAAAGATATGGTCTATTTTACCCGCTAAATATCATCCGATGACTACCCAAATTGGTAGGCTTCTTCCCCGCCCCAAACTCTAGCTACATGCGAAATTCCGCGTCGATTGGTCTATAATTGCGACCTGTATAGCTACTACAAAATCCGACATTTTTCCAGTATTTGGTCCATTTCAACCCCTTAACCTTTGGCGATCATCTCCAAAAGCAATAGGGTTCTATTCTGGTCCAAGCCCCACCTACATTCTAAATTTTGTGAAGATCGGGCCATAATTGCGACCTGTAGAGGGATTACAAATTAACGTGGACAGACGGACGGACGGACATACATAGCTAGATCGACTCAGCTCGGCCAATCAAACTTATAATACCCCCAACACATAGTGTTGTAGGGTATAACAAGTAAACAAAGGCTATAGTCGTTCAAGGCCGACCATGTGATACCCTGCAACACTACAACATGTTAGAAGCCCTCTTATGTCCAAAGATTTCGTTTTTGAAATTATGTTAACGTGCACTGGCCAGATATTACCCTTAGCTTTTTGACCATTGACGTTTGCCCAATATTTACGCACTCCGTCGTGCTGTTAGTTGTTGTGGTCCATTTTACAGCTAAATATAATCCAATGGTCATCAAAAATGCTAGAATTCTTCCCTGTCCTTCGATATATGTATATATAGGTGTATTTAAAAAAAGTGAAGGATGTGAATTTTTTAAATTTTAAATTTAAAAAAAAATATTTTAATGAGGATACAATTGAATAAAGAAATGAATTTAAATGTTCTTTACAATGCCGGATTTGTAAAATGTTTTCTGTTATAAGTTGTGTCAGCCATATGGCTAGAGAGGGTATATATCATTTGATACGGCCAAAACGTCGGAATATATATATATATATATATATATATATATATATATATATATATATATATATATATATATATATATATATATTTTTTTTTTTTTTTTTTTTTTTTTTTTAAATAATTCCTGGAGAATATCCCAGATAAAAGACAAGGGAACTGATGAGGATTGGTGACTCTTTCCGAAACCTAGGAATTCCCTGCCTTACTCCTGGTTTACATTACCATCTTTCTCCACTAATAAACAAACGCTGTTTTTATAAAAACAACCATAATGGGATTAAGCCTAACTATTTTGCAACAACAACAAGTAAAAAAGCAGTAAGTTCGGCCTGGCGGATCGAATTTGAAATTTTTCGAAAAAGATAACATTCGCCAAAATTTCTGTTAATATTTTAAAAATACCGAATATAGCCGTTATATTAGGGCCTGTACGACGTGCACCTACATAGGCATTGTTTGTCATAAGCCATTACCATATTCAAATTCGAAACTTGAAATAAACGGTGAATAATGTAGCCAAAATCATCAAAATAACTTACATAGGGAGGTACCGTTATATAGAAGCTATACGAAGACCTGGACCTGCATAGACAATTTTCTGTCACAGGCTGTAGCTTCCATGACGAACTTCAAATACGATATCTCAAACAATTTCGGTGAGTATTGTACCTAAAATCGCCAACATACCGAATATAAGGAGGTACTGATATATGGGGCATATACGAAGACCTGGATCTGCATAGACAATTTTCTGTCTCAGGCTGTAATATCCATTTCGAACTTCTGCCTTAGGCTGTAGTATCCATTACGAATCTCAAATACCAAATTTGAAACAATTCCGGTGAATAATGTCGCTAAAATCATGAAAATACCGAATATCAGGAGGTACCGTTATATGGAGGCTATACGAAGACGTGGACTTGCACAGACAATTTTCTGTCTCAGGCTGTAGTATCCATTTCGAACTTCAAATGCCCAATTTGAAACAATTCCGGTGAATAATGTCGCTAAAATCATCAAAATACCGAATATCGGGAGGTACCGTTATTTGGGGGCTATATGAAAACGTGGACCTATATGGCCCATTTACGAACATAACCTACCTGCTGGCAAAATAAACATGTGTGCAAAAGTTTAGCCTTCTATCTCAATTCGTTCGAAAGATAGAGTGATTACAACAGACAGACAGACGGACAGAGTAAGGATTTTACGGCCTCTATATAGGTTACTTTGCGATGTAAACTTTCAAAGCGCTAATACACGTGTCTCCTGTTATTAGCTCAATTTTCATAATATGCTGCATTTTCCTGTAAATATTAAAAAAAATCGAATTTTGTTGCACAGCGGAATATTTGTTATATTTTAAATCCAGTTTGTGTCTTAAGTCTTTCGTTTTTATGACGTTATTTTCGTTTATTTCATTCATCATCGCGATTACACAAAATAACTTGAACTCATAACTCTCCGACAGCCACCATCAGATTTCAGTGGCTTGACATGTTAATGAAAACTGTTGCAGAGCAGATGCAAAAACAAATTTCGCCATATAACAAATACCATTAAAATTTTTTCATCGCAAATGAAATTTATATCTGTGTGACCTTCAAAAAATAACAGTTCACAACATCCTGTATATGGTCGTAACGAGATTTTGGTAACGTTTACTCTTTTTCACTTTTGAGTGTGGGTAGTTATTAAAAATAAATTAAATAAATATATCTCTGTTTAAAACTCTACGCATTTCCCTCCCAAAAATTAAGTAGGTCATCAAATAAACCCACACACACTCGAACATCATTGGAGATGTCTGCTTGCAGACTCTTGTTGTTTTTGTTGCTGTGACCCAATTTCAACGAGGTGTGACCTACGAACCAAATAAAGTCAATGCCCTTTTAAAGAAATCACAAAATTTAAAAAATATAAACAAAATAGTTTCTGTTTACAAAACGCCTGCCAAGAAATGACTCAGTTATGCTAATGTGTGCGATTACATAATTTTCCTGGCGTTGTTTTG